GAACTGGAGAAGCGGGGCAATATCCAGGGGCAAACGTGCATAGAACTGTGCATGGAGTGGTTGGTATCCCTGGCAGACCATGGATATGACATCAAAATAAGGAGAAACCTCGGGGATATTATGAACCGTTCTTGGATATTCCCCGCATTTCTCGTCGGAATCCCATTCCCGCTGCTCTTGGATTGTGAGGACATGTCGATCACTCCCACGCTTATATACTGACCTTGAACGAAAACTAACTGCGGTGAGTGATATTTATCGGGTGGAGTTGGAAATGGTCAATGCCTCTTCCCTGGGTTCTCCCACGCCATGGCTTAAAGCTTCAACAAAGTTACAGTACGACTCGGGGCTTAAACACGAGGGTCAGGGCATGGCTCTCTGTTGCAAGGCACCTTGATTTCATCGTAATCTCATCGTCTCATATCAATGAGCAGGCTGGTTGCCCTTTCCTTGTCCTTTGTGGAGTCCCTTGGCACGTTCAATCCATATATTCGCTGCGACCTCAACTCCTCCTTCTCGAGCACACTCACGCTGGACAACCGCCGCGACCCTTTCTAGGACCTGCTCGGCGGCAGCAGCACCGACCGTATCGTGAGCACTACAATTGACTGCCTGCGAGGCCTGTGCGGAACGGACCCTCGAGGTCCATTCCTGAGTTGTCCGTCTCCGACCGCCAATCACGCCCATATTCCTTGTGCTAGGGATGCGTAACAGCGTCTTTTCCACGTCGTATCCGATCGCTTCGGCGATACCCATTGTCTTGGCAGTAAGAGAGCCGTACATGGAATTGACCGCGCCGGTATCGGTGCGCTCCTGCTGTTTAGCAGCCCGGAGCGCTTTCAAGTCCCCGACTGCTGGTTGGGGATTCTGTTCCACCTCTTGATTTTCTGATCGGTCAGCAGAACCCTTTTTGTTGGGCTTGGGTGGCGGGTAGCGATATCTGGCTCCGGAGAGCGAGTGCGAGCAGCAAGGTATTGAGATGAACGGTAAGGGGGATGCCGGGTTCGAGAGGGCAGCCATAAGCGGCGTCCAGACTGTGAGTTCGTCGGCATGATTCGAGATGATGAATGTGCTCTCTGCAAACATGCCTGTGTGCGTTTTCACACCAATGTCCAACTCCGAGCCTGTGCACACGTCTGCAAAAGGCTTGGGTATGTATATTTCCTCCTTGAGTCTCTCCTGGATTGATGACGGGAATATACCCCAGGTCTTCCGTCGACGAGCATCAAATCCCCAGCCCTGGTACCCTTCTGAGAGAAGCACATAGACAAGCACCCCGTTTCCACAAGCGACATCCACAAATCCGGGGAATCTTGAATCGTACTTTTCTTGCTCCTGCTGGTCGGGGCTTCTCTCATCGGCGGGTACAACTCCGTACATGCTCCTCCATAGCTCAATAAGGAAGGCCGTGATCGAGAGGTCTTCGAAAACATGCTTGTTCGGTTCAGTATCCTCGACCCAATTCTTACATAGATCTGCCGCGTACTTCAATTTGAGCCGCGCGTAGGTGTCTTGCACGAGGTGCCTTGGTATCACGTTATCTTTGTGCGGGTTGTAGTTCCCTCCTTCTGGCTTTTCGTCCAGACGCGTCTGACGAGCAAGCCGGATCTGAGTACTCAGAAGTGCGAGCAGGGTGCGCTCTAGACGGTTCTGGATTGGTTCTTCCTCGTATGGCAGGAAGTGCACCGACATTACTCCTGTCCCTTTCCCCTCTTCGGACGAATGTAGAGAAGCATCGGGTGTGAAATCATACAGGAAGGCCAATGATCGTAGCAGGGGGTGGTACCACGGCATCTCCTCCTTGGATGAGACATGCGGCAGGTAGACGACCAAGAAGCGTTGGCGAGGCGACTCAGCCTTCGATTCACATTGCTCACTTTGAGAAATACCCGTACTGGTAGACGTCGGGAGGAGTTCATCCGCCTCGTAAAAATGACAGGTCTGTTCGAGGGGCCGGTCCAAATTCTTATTTCTAGGAATCAGCCTTCTCACAATGGTCCTCTTCAGCTCAAATCCAGGTACACTCCTCGCGGCAAGAGGCTCGACATGGTCTCCTTTTGCGGTATCATTGTCTGTGCCGCCGCTCCCATGATCTTGACTTTCCTCCTTTGCATGCGGGGTGCTGAGAACGCCGAGGCTATCATGAAGAATATCCGCACGGAACAAGTGGCTTGAATTCAGATTGGGATTCGCCAACAGGAAAGTCGTCATATTTTGAATAACCTCCGGAGTGAAAGGGAGATCGCCCTCTATTAGATCTGGCGAGGTTACCCATCCCTCCTGCAGGGTTTTCAGAACAGGTGATGGCTCTATCGTTTCAGCCAGAGGTTTTCCCGAGAGCTTAGTGACATCTCTTGGGTTCTTCCTCACGTTCCTCGGCATATTGTAATTGTTGAGCGGCCAACAGGCCTTGTCTCCCACTGTCTTGGTCTGTTTGCTGATATAGTGGCGGTTCAAAAAGCGGCGTGATATGGTCAAATATTTCTCGGTCTCGGCCAGTCGAGAACAAGCTTACCGCAACGCCGTCGGGATTCTGATATGTTCATAGAAAACCTTTGTGACTGCTAATATATTGCCAATGCAAATAGAATTTGCAACCCTCACTCTATACTGCGTACTACTCTCTGATCAGATTTGATCTCGCTAATATTGATTTGGTTAGTCATGTGACATATTCCTGCTCTTTGCAGCGCCAGCTCTATTGGGCGTTTGGAGCGGTTGTCATGAGCCCTAGAGGCTGGAAACTAAATTATCGGCTCTATTTTCTTTTGACTGCATATATATCCTCGTGAGCAATAGGTCAGTTGGACGGGCAAAAATGAAACTCATATGTAAAAAGAAATCTCCCCGACAGGGAGTCGAACCCTGGTCTCCCGCGCTCGTTCTCATAAGAGTGACAAGCGGAAATCATGACCGTTAGACCATCGAGGATTTCTTACGTGCAAGATTAGCAAATTTTGCTCTATGTTGCAATGCCCTAAACCTGACCAATCAGTGAGTCGGCATCTCTTGTTCATTTTTTCGGCTAGTACAGTAGAACACTTCTCCTCGTCTACTTCCTTTTGCTGGCTATAGTTCCCGTCTTGGCGTTCACGTTCATCGCGTGAGAGCCTAACTAATAATACATGGTAAATTATAGGTATAGGATAAAACTTAAGAAGCAAGATCAAATCGGTTTAGTAAGTAATTATAAGTGGTAGTTTAGTTTCTGCAGGCATTACAGCTTCCTCAGGTGCCTCCGCAGACGACCGGACAGAACAGCCGTGACAGGAAGCCCCAAATCACTAAAGGTTATAAAGATGAGGGAGACAGGGCTATACCTCGGGAAGCCGATTATACTCTATATATTCCCACTATACAATGGAACTGCTGGCAGGACGAGAGGAGTCCCTAACATACTGCTTTCACAATCTGCTGATGTACATGTGCTCTGTTAGTGTCGTGTTAGCGATTAGTATTCATGAAATCTGACTGTTTGGAGTCCATTCCACAGCTTGTTGAGGTCTGCATGTCTAGCTGTCCAAAATAGTTGACAATGAGTAAGTTCGTAGGCTCCATGAGAAGAGATCGTGTTCCAACAGGATTAGCCGCCGCTTCTACGGAGTACAGAGTAATCATTGGTGTGGATTATGCATCCATTTGGACGTCAGCGCTAAAGCTGCGTGCATCTCACCCACTTGTAGCCAAACGTCCAATGATGTCTAGCAAGTAATCAAAGGGAGGGGGACGTCAATCATTTCGAGACATTCTTCATCAGCCATCACCCACACAGTTCGAGCACTGCCTACCACATGCAATGACCACATATTGCTCGAAGCTGTAAGCTGTCCTGTTTCTTGATGTCCATAAAATTTATACAAACAGCATCATGAAGGTCATCATCGCTGGCGCGACTGGGTTCGTGGGACAAGAGGTCCTTTCACAGTGCCTGGCCCATCCCTCTATCACTTCTATTGTTGCCCTGTGCCGCCGTGAACTGCCCATCACACATCCCAAACTCCATGTCCACCGCATGAAAGACGAAGATTTTCTCTCCTACTCAGACCCCCAGCTCTCCGCCTCTCTCCGAGGCGCAGATGCTTGTATTTGGACGCTAGGCGTTACTCCCTCGCGCGCTTCTGATGAACAGGCCTTCCGGCGGGTGACACTGGAGTATACCAGCCAGGCCGCCAAGGCCTTCAACAATGCCTTTACTGCTTCAAACGAGGCAGGGCAAGAAGCCTCCGCCGGCCGCAAATTTCGTTTCGTGTATTTCAGCGGCGGAATGGCTGAGCGCGACCAGTCGAAACCTCTGTGGTTCTATGCGGGCTATCGTCGTGTGAGGGTATGAAACCCCCCTCCCACTTCCTTATATCCTGCAGGTAGAGATTGACCCCCCAGGGTCAAGCTGAGAATATCCTGCTGGAGCAGGCAGCTGCTCACTCCGCCACATTTGAATCATACATCATGCGCCCGGGCATGGTGCTGAGTCGACAGGGGACATTTGCTGACCGCGTCCGGGGTCTGGTACCCTCAGTGCGGGTTGACGTGTTGGCGCGGGCAGCAGTCGATGTCGCCGTTCAGGGACATTCGGAGAAAATCTGGGAGAACGCCCAAATTACTGAGTGGAAGGGTGTTGGTGGTCAACATGGTTAATTATATTGCTGTCGTATCGATCGCAGCCTGAGACAGGAGAGATACGTATTTCATATGCTTTTGAGCTAGCGGACTGTACTGAATGCTTTCGCAAAGGAAACTCAAGAACGAAATTCATTGATCATTACTATAAGACGATATTCGATTATGAATCTAACCACCCTTTCATTGAAAAAGACAAATCACTCGACTCCGACTACTAGGAGACCATAATATTGTTGGGTTTGAAACAGTCTTCAGATTAAATCTTAAGGAGCAATTTTTCCGCTAACAAACCCCCAATGTTTAATCCATGCTGATGAAGGATGTGATCTAAATAGACAGCCTTCCTCACTTCCCGACAAGTCCCACAACTATCATAAATCTCATCCAGCAATGATCTTCTTCGGTGCAACTACAAAATCGGTTCCTTCTCTCCTAGGTCCCGTTCTTGTTAGTAAAATTTCTCGGAAATTATAGTTTGCCTTCACTGCTGCACAATGTAGAAAATGTTGGGGTAGTTCAGCCTCCAAAAAAGCCCGGAAATAGGCCTCACGGCTAGGAGGATGGGGATGGAATACGGTCTCCATGCGTCTCCAGTCCTTCGCCTTTCCCTCCTCCCAGTGATAGGTGCAGGCTCGGCAGAAGGTGCCCGGCTCCAATGTCTGGGTGCGGCGATCCCAGTACGGAAATGTAACTGTCGCCTGCATTCTCCACGATGTCTCTCCGTTCATGCCGAGTGTAGTAGGAATAGGTTGGCGCCAAGGGCATCGAGCGGACTTTCCTTGTTGCTTTTGTCTTTTCCACTTCTGAACCCGTTGTTGGTAGTTTTCTTCGAGTTCCTTCCGACGCCTCTGGTATTCCTGCCTCATCGCCTTGTAACTCCCATGTAGCTGTCTACCCAACGCTTTTGCTTGGGTAATGTCGACTAAACGGCGTTTAGGTGGTAAGATATTGTAAGTGATTGGAAGTGACTTGACGTCCTTCTGGGTCAGCCCAAAGTGCAAGCAAACATCAGTCACTGGTGCTACTTGATACTCGGGTCGGAGATAATTGCATTTATAGCATGACCGACTGACTGTTGGCAGGTAAAGGTAGGGGCCAAATTCGCCACATGTCCGGCACCAGGGATGGCAGAACTCTGTGAATATCCACTGGATTGGGAAATGCGACGAGCATCTCGTAGCATCCATGAGACACAGCGTGTATGGGGCATGCTTCCTCAACAAGCGGTACGCAGGGAGTGATTCGACTAAGCGCCTTGACGTGGTGTCGACGCGACGCAGCATCCCTAGGCTGGTCAGGTCCAGGTTGAGCAATATCAAGTGAAGAATTTCTAGTGGAAGCCGAGTAATCAGCGCTTTGGATCTTCGACGCGTCTTCGATGCCTTGCTTGGTGGAGCTTGGTATAGTTTCCCGGTCGACTTGAACTTGATTGGGTCTGGAAAGAAATGAAGCACATCGAGATGTAAGTTCTTGCACCGGTATGCTGTACCTGAGGCCATCTCTGGTAGAAAAGAGGGCAGCAGATTGTCGGACAGACAAACTTAGGCCACCTACGAGAAGGGTTAAGGTCTCAATGAGCAAGTTTAAGGTAGTAATAAACACGCGTGTTAGATACGTCAGGTACCTAAGAACTAGGTATGCCCTCATCATCCACTTATCATCTGCTATCTTTCCAGTAATGACGACATGACTACGCTCTCAGACAGGACCTCTAGACTTATAATAGGATGGGAAAGCAACAACGAATTCAACTTCAATCAAGCCAGACGTCCATGATACAATCGGAGGGCTTACGGCATTAACACGGCCTAATTTAACAGAACATTCGTTGCTCTAGATGAAACATGAAAGAACAAGCCTCTGTTGTCGGATAGTCCTCTAATAATTCCCTAGTTCGACACAGGTTCGAGGTGATCCGGGCAGGGATGTTCGATATGCTCTGTCACGGCTGGATTCAGGGGATCGCAGCGAGTGTTGGTCGGACGCCGGGCCTCGCATTGCTTGAACGTGCGGGCGCTGTCGCTGCATCCGCAGGAGTAGACATAGACCACGAAGTGGCACCTTAATCCTTCAGTATCAGTATGTAGCTCCTATGGTGTAATGTGGGGTGGTATGAAGTCGTTGCTCACATCGTTGATGTCTCTACTTCGGAGGATCGACTGAGGAGGATTGAGGATCCTGAAAATATGCCTGGTAGACTGGAATAAAGTGATTTATGTTAGTAAATCCATTCCCCACAGTTAAATTTATGGCGTACCTGTAAAATTATATCGCCTTTCCACACAGGGAAAATAGTTGGAAATGAGCACTTTGGGGATCTGCTCTGAGCAGACATGTAGATGTGATGTCCCTTCCTCTTTCGGTAGCCAGTCGACAGCATGACGAATTGGGAAGGCACTCTAGAGCATGGAGACCGTAGTGGCTGTAGATTGTGAATGACCCTCTGTAATTGAGCCGTCACACTCTCTGACATCTTTTCTCCTCGTTTCCAGCTTTCCAGCTTTCCAGCTTTCCAGCCTTTAAAGAAGAAAGTAAGGACTATACCTGGAGGATTGATGATCAATGAACCTTAGCCTAACTAATTGAAGCAGCTCCTCAGTCTCGCAGCGTTTGCAAAGATGTAAGTGATATTAATGGCGGTATAGCTGCACATCCTCTGATCAGTGGAAGGTGTTTTTACTGGCGTGAGGTCTACGACTGTGGGTGCTACCAGCAGGGTACATTTCAACAATGCGAGATCAGACACCACACCAACTCCAAGTGTGATAGACTTGATCAGCCACGGCCACGTCCTGTGGGCTGTTATTGCCCAAAGCACCTCGTTTCGGCGGGTGCTACAATCATATATGTCAATCGGGATGGGCCCTGGTGGCGTACCGACCCCAACAACAACAACGGCGGCGGCAATGACGGCGACAAGGAGGAAGAGGAGGAAGAGGAGAAGGAGAAGAAGGAGAGGAAGGAGGAGAAGAGGAAGAAGAGGAGGAGATATACGACGATGGGTCAGACGAAGTCTAAAACCTGTGATCAACTATGATCAAGTATAATTAGTGTACAGCAGTACGAGTACTGCCTGTGGGAAGCATCAACAATGGGTCCGGTGATTGGATCAGCTTGGAGAGAAATGGAAAAAGGAGCATATCATTACATACAGCAAATCCAAAGGTATCTCTATCATGATTTAGGCAGCGATTTGGGGTGGTGGTCATTCAGATATCAATTAAATGACTAGAGATGGGAATTCTTATTAAAATGACTACTCTGCAGCTTCCTATCTCAAGATTTTAAAGGAGAATATCTTTACTATCTATTCTCCAGAGCTGACTGACTTTCATGCAAGATAATGCCCAAATCCATACCTACTGCATCCGGGAACAACTTCACCAGCACTCTATCTTTCCCAATGACTGGAGTACCGGTCTCTGCCGAGATATTTATCCCTATGGTCGCAAGGAACTTTTCCACAGCGGTGTTCAATTGGTACGCCTATGGACAGCTGTACAACGAGAGTTCAAGCCACAAGCTGGTGCTCCGCAGCACAACCCAGGACCATATACTCAAGTGCGCGGAGAACTTTCTGGCGGGCTTCTTCGGTCTGAGTGGACTGGAAAGGCCAATCTGACTCCCATAATTGAAGACTACAGCTTCACCAGAAACGCTCTACGTACACTTCCTGCAGAACCAGCGGATGCTCCCTCTCCACGCTAGCTTCCACGAATGCGCGTACCGCAATGAACGGCTGGTTCGAGCTCTCCACTTTCATGGACGATCAGAAACAGGGTCTGCAAAGGGGCTGAACACGAGTACTCGTGCTTTGGCAAGTGGACCATTACCATTGGGTTCCTGCTAGTTAGGTACAAGGGTTGGCGCCAAGCATAGAGTCTCAAGAAATCCACATTGACGATCCGTGAGTGAGGTAAAAGGAAGTCATGACCAGCTTCCGGAGTACATGATTTAGTTAGCCCTGTATAGGTGCATCACTGACCTGCTCTTTATCATATTCAGTTCTTGTAATCCTAGCACATACGACCATAGGGTGTGGAAAACAGGGCTTCCCGTCCGCTCAGCCGTACTTAAGCCACACGCCGGCCGGTTAGTAGTTGGGTGGGTGACCACCAGCGAATCCCGGCTGTTGTATGTTTTTGTTTTTGTTTTTGCTGTAGATATTATCGTAATTATAAAAGTCTAGAATGCTGTTCCTCTGTCTTTTGCCTAATCACATTACCCTCTCTATAGCGGCACAGCCAAGCCCGATAATTCTCAGCTCAAATGACGCAGTTACCCACCAGACTAAATAATGCGCCCCTCACCCGCAGCGTTATCTTGAATTTCCCACTCACTTTCTGTTGCTACTAGGGTTAATACGATCAAGCACCGTACACTGATATCAGAAACTACAAGGGGGAAAAATGACACCCCGTTGCTTCATTGTCCGTCACGGCGAGACAGAATGGTCCCTTAACGGGCGGCATACCGGCATCACCGACTTGCCGCTTACAGCAAACGGCGAGAAACGGATCAAGGCAACGGGTAAAGCGCTGGTCGGCAACGACCGACTGATCGTTCCAAAGAAGCTGGTGCATGTGTACGTCTATGTATTTTGCAATTTCTTCTAAAATGAACCTCGATTGGAGACAATCGGGTGTAGATGACAATAAATGGCGACGAGCTGTGCCAGGTTGATGCTGACGCTAACGTTGACCGACCAGCTACGTATCTCCCCGCACTCGCGCCCAACGTACCCTCGAGCTCCTCGAAATCGGCTGCAAAGAGAGACTCCCATGGACCGAGGCCAGAAAATCAGAAGAGGAGGAACCCATCCGCACGGAAGCCGAGGTGGAAATCACCGACGCGATCCGGGAATGGGACTATGGCGATTATGAAGGATTGACGAGTAAGCAGATCAGGGAGCTGCGGGAGAAGAATGGCCAGGGGCCGTGGGATATCTGGAGGGATGGATGTCCAGGTGGAGAGTATGATCGCGCTTTGTTTCAAGCTTGCGGCTTGAAATCGCAAGCTTGAAATCCCATTTCGTCATGGTAGGACTTGCGCAGCAGCTGATGAAGTGAAACTCAACAGATCCCCGGAAGACGTCATTCGTCGACTTGATGCCTTGATCGCCGAGATTAGGGAGAAATACCACAGTAGATGCTTCGAGGGCTCGTCAGGCGGCAAAGGGGACGTTCTGATCGTTGCACACGGCCATATCCTCCGCGCGTTTGCCATGCGGTGGACCCGAAAGCCACTCTCGGAGACAGCGCTGATCCTGGAAGCTGGAGGAGTCGGTACATTGAGGTGAGATATTCCCAGTGCCGGCGCTTGACTCGATATGTCTCTTCTAACTATCCCAGTTACGAACACCACAACATCCACGAACCGGCGATCATCCTCGGTACCGCCGGTTTCGTCGTAGAAGAGTAGGGCTGTGACGCAGATCTTCCCACAGGGTGCAAGACATCTGCGTCGGTCAGCATATCCCGACAAAACGATATAGATAGCGAATCCCAGACATAACCACATCATAGCATCCTGCAATGCCGTCCAAGAGTCAACGACAGATACTTACCCCGACAACCCCTGTACGACCCGTAACAGAAATTTCCCTCAAGATTCCATCTTCAATTTTGCCTCCTCCCCTTTATCCCCTTCACCACCCGAAGCTAAACCGGAACCCGAACTCGACCCCGAATTCCCTTTTACTCCTTCCTCCCCCAGAACCTTAGCAGACCCCATAAACAAAGCCCCGACATAACCGCCCAGAAAGCGCATATCCTCCGCCTGCACAGCCGTCATGCGGAGCAGATTCTGCGTGTCGGCGAGATTGGCATTCAACTGCTCCAATTGGGAATGCAGATGAGCGTACTGCCGCGTTTTGGCGGCTGACATGCCTGAGTTTCCCATCCCCGACCCCATTGACGACGAGGCCGATGCGGTGGTTGAAGTTGGGAGGATGGAATGGCGGGGGTAGGATTGAGAAGGGTGGTGTTGGTGGGATGGTGGTGCCATTTTTGCGTAGGCGTTTGGCTCTTTGATGTAGACGTAGAGATTGTAAATAAACGAGGATCTGATAGAGTACTATCAATCTGTCCTATACACTCGAAGTGATAAGAGAGTCGCCTGTCGGAAAGTGAGGTAAATTTGGCGCGACCCTTTTTTGGTGCTTTGTTTACGGAGAGATGATTGATCACGTGGCACCATGGAGACCAAGTGACAACACCCGATAAGCCCGTCTGATTCGAGTACTCAACAGTGCATATGGGTTAAGGCTTGAAATAAATTTTCTATAAGGCGGTTATCATGAAATTATTCTAGTGATCCAGTCTCTTCCGGTTTATGCAAACGTGTGGATTATTCGAAACACTCATCGCGACATGGCAGGATACTCTTCTATCAATCATGTGTTCTTCTGCGCTCATTCGTTGCTCAATAGAATGGTTCTCCTGCGTTAAGTGAAGCCGTCACAGTTAAGGGGACCGCCCTCCCTCGTGGCTACCTCGCGAGGCGCGAACTCAGCCAGATTAAGCCGATCGATCGACCAGAGAAGTCAGAACCCCTGCTCTTTTTGATGCGCCAGAACCAACCATGAACTTGCGAGTGACAATGGCTGCTGGACCTTTTGCAAAGTCCCTATAAAGATTCAGAACAGATGCAAGGAAATTCAGAAAGGACGGCATGCAGGTAGGAGAAAAAGGGGAAAAAAGATGGTAAGATGATATGGAGGACATGAGAAGCTGCTTGCAAGAATGATGCGCCGGTACAGGTAGTGTACAACAATGACGGTCATGCAGAGGGGAAATGGAATACAAGCTGAATGATTGCGACTTGTTATTGGCAGTGGTTTAGCTGCGAAAGTAAAAAAAGAAAAAGAAAAGCAGATTTTTCAAGGCCGAGTTTGGACTCGCTATCATTAAAAAAGAGCGCTGCGGGAAGGGAGATAGTGAGCAAAACACAAACGCAGAAGCACGCCCGCCACTCCGAAACCCCGAGACGAAAAGCATGATGAAACAAGAAAGATGACCCCTATGTCCCTTGTGTATATGTAGAGCAGCGAACAACAGAGTATTATAAGTGATTGACCCCGTTCCTGACGTCGGTGAGCGTCTGTACTGGTTCAAGTCTAAGTGGAATTCAAGCATTCGATGTGAGGTATCTCGGAATAGCGGTGGACGCCAATCCTCCTGGCAGAGACGAAGCAGGAGAGCAAAGACATGAAGAAATCAACAAGGTAAAAGCTCAACATCGGGTCTGAGGAATCAGAAGAGAGGCCAAGGCTCGCCAATTAACGAACCGGCATTGCAGTCTGCTGAGCGCCTAGGCTGATTTCGCTGCTATGGGCGGAAGCTTCGGAGTCCAGATTCGCACTGGCTCCGCTATCACCACTCTCCGCGCTGGCGCTCGCACTTCCAGTCAGACTTCTATGCTTGGGAGTGCCCTTGGCGGGATACGGGTTGCTCACCCCATAATGTTGCTCAACTTGCTGCGGACCTACCGCATTACCATGTCCAGGAGGATATTTCGGAACAGGTGCCCGCATGTGGCCAGGCGGCGATGGATGGCCGCCGTGAGGACCGGGGGGGCCAAGAGGTTGATCTTGAGCGGTTGGAGGTCGTCCCATTCGCGGACCGGGTCCACCATAGGGGGTAGCAGGGGACTGGCTGTTTCTCCGACTCTGTGGATAAGGGTGTGGCGAAAAGTCACCCATTCTGCTAGCCGTCATGGAGTTCGCACGGGACCCAGCTTGCATTTGATTTCGATCAACGGATCCGTACCGGTTAGATGAATAGGCCATCATCGGGTTGTCCATAAGGGAATCATGAAGCCCCGGGATTTCCTGCATAATACGCTCGCTGGTGCGTTTTCGACCCGGAAGGTACCGACTGAACGACGATTGGGGCCTGCCATTCACACTGATTTCTGGATTCTTGCGGAATTGACTCGCGTTGGGAGCTTTTCTTGCCCTGCGCGACGTGATGCTCATCATATCGACGCTGTCTGGGTCAATATGCGGAATAGGAATGTTGTCCATGGGATCAAAATAATCGTCCTCGTCGTCTTCATCGAACGCTGCTGCTCTGGACGGCGCTGCCCTACTACGAGGTCCGCGTCGCATCTGCATCTCTTGCTCGCGAAGCTGCAACTCCCGCTGCCGGAGGGCCAATTCCCGTTCTCTCAGGGCCAGATCTGCAGCTGCAGGAGGAGGTCCGGGCGGCATGTCGGGCATGCCGTTACTGCCATTCTGGCGGGGCACGCCTCCTTCCGCAACCTCGTCATATACGACCAGATGGCTGAACTCCTCGAGTCCCTCAAGAGAAGGTTCGCGAGGTATCCTGGCCGAAGGTGGGAGGGCTTGTCCGCTTGGTGGCCTTGACATTCCCGGCATAGGCATAGGATATCCACGGCGCCCAGGAGGCATCATCATGCCCGAGCCGGACCTGCCACCAGGATGAGGCCGCATAGGACCGTTTCTTGGGGGAGGTGCCGAAGACATTCTGGGTGGTGGCTGAGCTAGTAGGGGGGGAGGCGTATCATTGGTTGAGGGCTTGTTAAGATTGTTTGTGTTGATGTGATGTAGTGCAGCGTAGAGTGTCTCGATTCGCGGAATCCGGATACCTGACTCCGTCGCCAATTTGATTGGGGACCCAAGATATGTCTCAATCTCCATTGGACGTCGCGATTGGAAATCTTGATACATTGTGCTAGATGAGTCGATGGCAACCATCTTGTCGATCGTCTTCTGGGTGAAGTCACTTGGGAATGAGCAGCCCTGTGTTTTCGCGAGTTCGATGAGCTCCTCGATGATACCAGTCACGAGTTGGCGGACCCCGACTTTCTCGAGGAGTTGGGCATGATTCGAAGTCTCAAACATAACACTTGTTGGCTGAAAGGCGATAGGTCTGCGGAAGAAGGAGTCAGCAGGAAAAATGGAAGCAGACCCGAGGGAACCGAAGCCGCCGGTATGCTCACCCTATCATGCGCTCAAATTGTTCCTGTCTAATGTTTTCCGACACCTTGCAGTTGACTTGTCCTGAGCTCAAAGTCATTGCCAGAGCAGCAGCCATGTCATTCTGAATCGATGCCGGGATGCTGGAATTCTTGCTCGTTGCACCGACCCAGATGTCCGACGAATTCAAATGCTCGAATTCACTAGCCCCAGTCTGCGAAATCTCCACGCCGGAAACTAGGGAGAGGACCACGTTCGTGGGGAACCGCTGCTCCAATTGAGATTCTACGCCAAGGGTATTCGTTGTATTCACGAGGATGCATGTATGCTGAGGTGTGACAACGGACTCGATAACAGATGCAAGGTCGTAGACGTCGGGCAGCGCCTTGACGCACAGAATGACATAATCGTATGCATTCTCTCGAGATGCTGCTTCTTCAGGAGCGCGAACAACTACAGAGCGAAACACGTGTATGTTAGCAAGCTTACTGCGAATGATACACATGCCATAACGAGAGAACTTACCATGACGGGGCTTGAAGCGTTCATTGCCGAATGTTTTCGACCTGTGTGTTTCTCCGATTAGAAAGTGGCTTTGAGCGGAAAGACGGCGAGTCAAGAGGAAGCGTACTTAAAAGATACTCCATACTGAGATACTGATTCGAATCCAGATTTCCAGACAAGGGTCACATCACAGGACGTTGTAGCCTGAAGTCGCCAGGAGAGGAACGCCGAAATAGCATTACTACCGACTAAACAAGCTCTAGTTAGCTTTGGGCTCATTTCGGGTTGCGGCGGATGTTGCGGAAGTCTTTTCACGATCCCAGACATGAGTCTCATTTGGATCTTGTGATAGTGAATTGTTGTAGAAAAGAGATTAAGCTCATTTTGAGCAGCAGATAAGAGCTAGAACACCAACCTGATAAAATGCGCAAGCGCGGCGGAGGAGCCATAGCTTTGTTGAACCAAAGAGGAAGGAAGCGTCCCGGCGGGCCAGAAATCGAAAATTAAAGGGAAGTGGGAATCAAGATTTGATGGACCGTTGGGCTGGAAATGTAAGATTTCTGGATCGAGCGTCCCAAAGGCGCGATTGATGCTGCCTACCACGGCACAAATGAAAGCAATTTCACAACCAAAGCCAGGGTGCGGAATCAGTCGGTTTCACCGGGTAGGATAGCGTAGCGAGAGGAGCTCCGAAGTCGAAGGAGAAAACGAATGTAAGGGATTCCAACAAATGGAGTTCTTTTGGTATCTGGAGGAAGGAGAACAGGAGAAAAGAACCAGAAAACAAACGAGAGGAAAGGAAGGATAAGGGCGGGAGCTAGGTAGGTAGGTAAGTAGGTAAGTAGGTAAGTTAGGTAGGTTGACGCGGATTCGATGGAGCAAGAAGAAAAGAAAGAGGGGATGGGATGAGAGACTGGGATGGATTGGAAATGGAGCAGAGCAGTGTTGTTGCTACCTACTACTGCCACTGCCAGAA